ACTCAATATATTCATGGACAAATCTTTATTTTATTTGAAATACTTCACCAAGAAATATGATTTTTTGTATGTGAAAGACTTGTAATTTTAAATGAAAGACTGAAAAATATTGTGTAAAGATATACCCACTATATTGAGAGTTATAAGTATTCAATCTATAAAGACTTTAAACGAGTACAAAAAGGTCACGTGGTTGGTCAGATTGACCAAGATCATATTTAAAGTGTTAATGGATGACGTGGCCTCCTGATGCATTTTACATACGTACTGGAGTTGAGCCATCATAATTGTACTTCACTCCTTTGATTGGGAGACCTCATCTTACCTTAGCATGGAAGTTGTTTCCCAGGATGGAGGTTTTGGATCAGAACCAATCAATACAAGTCCTCCCATGAGTACAGGTTGTCTATTTTCCTCCCTCAGTTGCTCCATCTGCATCTTTAGTCACAGCAATAGTACGTGGGATTGTTATTGCCTTTAGATGGTGCTGGCCTATGCCACGGTTGGGGGAGTTGAGTTTATGTGATCGACATCCTTTTGATACCGATGTCTATTCCCAGATCGATAAGACAGTGAGAATTCTCATGGCATACGCAGAAATTGATGTGGACTTAATCCCCGATTTGTGGGTTTGAGGTGAAGATGGTATGATCCTCATCCTACCCCCACGAATAAGTTTTGGATGTAGTTGACTTACTGAGTACGGTCTGATGTGCCCTAGCCACTCTACACTTCACAATTTCAGCCCTTATCCATGACACACACTACACAGGGGCAAAGAAGTGGTGCAGTTCCCCTCTTCTGATCTTCATATGTATCTCTCTCATAGTCAGGGGTACTTCTTTCATTCCCTTGCACTGGTTCCTCCTCCTTTTCAGTGTGGGATTCTAGCTAATCTCATGAGGGGAGGTAAGTACCATATCAGAAGTTATAATTTTTCTATACTGAAAATATATTTCTGATAGGTACTTACCTCTTCTCGCACTTCCCACCCTTCCTCCCCATTTTTTCAGTACTCATGCCTTTTTCCAAACTTTGAAGTGAAGGTTTGGTAGAGGTGTATAGAGGGAGTCACATGAGCATGTCATGCTACTATTGGTTAAGAGATGATGCATGATGATTTGCATGAGAGAAATGTTGGAATATGATAATTCAATTCCAACAAGGGGGGAGCACAAGGCTTGTGGCATACATAAAGAAAAGTTTGCATATAGAGGGCAGCACTGAACTAGAATAGCTAAACTTGTGAAAGGAGGTGAGTATCTATCGGAAATACATTTTCAGTATAGAAAAATTATAACTTATAACAAAAACTGATTTAATTTCGAGGGTGTTATAGGTTTGACATTTTGTGTATTGTAGTTAATAAATAAACATTAATTATGTTTGGAGGGTGTATATAGGTCTGGCATTTTGGAATTATTTATCACAAAAAACAATTAAATTTGGAGGTTGTTATAGATTTGACATTTTGTGTATTGTAGTTAGCGCAATAACACTAAGTTTTGATGATACATATAGATCTGATATTTTGTGTTGTAGTCAGCACAGAAACTGATTACATTTGAGGGTGTGTATTATTTATAGGCCTAACGTCTTGTGTACTGTAGTTAGCACAGTAACACTAATTACACTTGTAGGGTATGTATATATCTTTTGTTTTATTCTAATTCTTGTAAATTTTAAATATTTTAGAAAGTTATGTTACTGTTATTTACTGTTTTTTTTTCTCTTTCTGTTAAATTCTAAAGAATCAAAGTTTTCCTCGCTACTAATTCTGTTATTTTTATTCTATTAAATTATAAATGTTCTAAAAGTTTTTTACTATTAATTCAGTGTTTTATTTTTGATTCTGTTAAATTATAAAAATTCTAAAAGTTTTGATGCTACTAATTCATAGTGTTTTATATTTAATCTATTAAATTATAAAGGTTCTAAAAGTTTATCATGTTATTAATTCATAGTGTTTTATTATGTTAAATTATGAAGGTGCTAAAAGTTTTATTTAATACTAATTCATACTATTTTATTATGTTAAATTATGAAGGTGCAAATAGTTTTATTTTATACTAATTCATACAATTTTAATGCTTTAATTCTCAACTTATTAAATCTTTTTCTTTTTAATTCATAAAGTAGTTTTTCTTCAATAAAATGTTTAATGATGGTTTTGATGTCAGATTGTTTTATTTTCTCAAATTAGTGTAATGTTGTTATTTTAACCCATAAACTGTGGCAGGAGCAGCTCAGTTGCCATTTTCTGACTCACAAATAAAACTGAGTTGTCATCAATCACAATAAAACAGTAATTTTCATCATTCACATAGAGTTATAGTTATATATGTGCGACTGACGGATATTTCTGTCATTCGCAGCTGAGCCATAGAACTTCAATGATGGAAATATCCGTCATCTGCAGTTAATGGGTTAATATTGATATTTGAATTTGTAAGTTAAAATATTTTATGAGTGGTTAATAACTGGTTCTCATGTTGAATTTACCAGAACTTATACTAAGTTAATTTTTATAAAAAGTAATCTGTTTCCAGTGGATAGAAAAGTTTGAGATGTTTTTGTTTAGGTTTCGCTTTCTGGTTTGAAAAGCTTTCAAGAAATTCTAAATTCTAATGAGAATATAGCAGAAAAGAGTGATTTCAGGTAAGTTGAAGTATTATAATAATGAAATATTGACAGTACTGATGTGATCATACTGTAATGAAACATTGTCAGTACTGACATGAACAGACTATAATGAAATATTGTCAGTACTGACATGATCAAATTGTAGTGGAACATTGTCAATACTGATGTAATGAAACAGTCATTACTGATGTGATCAGACTGTAATGAAACATTGTCGCACTGACATGAACAGACTATAATGAAATATTGTCAGTACTGACATGAACAGACTAGAATGAAATATTGTCAATACTGATGTAATGAAACAGTCATTACTGATGTGATCAGACTGTATTGAAACATTGTTAATACTAAAGTGATTAAACTGTAATGAAACATTGTCAGTGCTAATGTCATCGAACTGTAATGGAACAATGCTAATAAAATGATATTCAATTTGTAATCAGATTTGTAGTATTTGATTTTTATTTGAGTGGTAAAACTATATCATATTAAAAATATAAAACACATTCCCAAATGTATTTATTTAATAACAAACTATTAAGGAAAACATTTTAATTCAGTATCATTCTCAGGAATATGTTTGTTTAGGACAAACATTACAATTCAGCATCATTCTTAGCAACATGTTTAGGTTAGACATTGCATATCAGTATCATTCTTAGCAACATGTTTAGGATAGACATTACAATTCAGCATCATTCTTAGCAACATGTTCTTTAGGACCACATTACAATTCAGCATCATTTTTAGCAACATGTTTAGGTTAGACATTGCATATCAGTATCACTCTTAGCAACATGTTTAGGATAGACATTACAATTCAGCATCATTCTTAGCAACATGTTGTTGAGGATGAGCATGTTAGTTCAGTATCTGTCTTACAAACGTTTAGGATGAACATGTCAGTTCAGTATCATACTTAGAAACATGTTGTTCAGGACAAACATGACAATTTAGCAACATGTTTAGAATAAACATTGCAGATCTGTATCATTCTCAGAAACATGTTCACCTTCTGCCTGTCCCTGTGACAGAAATTTGGCTTCTTTGCCTCTTATCTTTTTCCTATACGGATGAAGAATATACCTTGGACAACATGAGATGTAGTCTATCATGAGTATGTCCCTTTGGAGCCCTTGCCATCAGATGTTACACCCCCATGGACTTTCTTCAGGTAATTGCTGAATGAGGCTCATCTAGGTAATTTTTGCACCAGTTCCTCCACCATTTTAACATGGAATTCTAGCTAACTGTTTGTGGATGGGAGGTATCATTTGCTTTACCTGAAAATGTATTTCCGATAGATACTCAACTCCACACACATTTCCACCCATTCTTCCAACTTCTGATGAACATTTTCTTGCTTGTCATATTGAAGAATTAAGTTGCACATGTGCAAGTGCATAGGAGAAGTATTTGCATAGGGAGAGGTGTTACTTTCCTATTGGTGGAGGGCTTTTGTCGCATGATACCATCATCATGCAGTAGCACAAGTCAAGTAAAAACACATAAAATTAGGTGGAAGTTGCCTCAAGGCTAGCGGCATCCAAATCTCTGTGCTGAAGAAGGTACTTAAGCTGTGTGAGAAAGTGAATATCTATCAGAAATACATTTTTAAGTAAGGAAAATGCTAACGTTCAATATCAGTCTTAGTAAAACGTTACTGTTCAGTATCATTCTTAGCAACATGTTTAGGACAAACATTACAATACATTATCAATCTTAACAACATGTTGTTCAGGAGAAACATTGTAGTGCAGTTTCCTTCTTAGAAACATGTTTAGTACAAACATTACAACTCAGTATCATTCTTAGCAACATGTTGTTTAGGGCAAACATTAGAATTCAGTACTGGTCTTAGCAAAATGTTTAGGACAAACGTTACAATTCACCATCACTCTTAGCAACATGCCGTATAGAAAAAACATTACATTTAAGTATCTCTCTCAGCATGTCTGATTTTGAAAAATGATAATATAGTAAGATTCTTAAAAATATATTTGGTTAAGGAAGATTGTTTCAATATCGTTCGTAGAAACATGTTTGATTAGGAAAACAATATAACTTAGAACCATTCTTAGCAACCAGTTTGTGATCTTATAACACTGTAATTGTTTATTATTGTTGTTCCAACAGTGCTGTTTTTTTTCTATAACTTTCATGAAGTTTCTACTATTGTGGAAAGTGTTGTTTTGTCTATAGTTTTGTTACACATTAAATAAACAGTACAACAAAAGTTAGTTTAATAACAATTTTTTTCTTAACTGCAAAAGGGGATGCTTTTGATATATACTTGAAAAAATTAAAATGATAGTAATGAATTTTTGGTGTGTATTTATTCAAGATTTTTTCTTTAAATGTTTGTGGTTTTAGCCAGTCTGCCTTATGGTCAACAGCTTGGAAAGTATGGTACAACATTGGAATTGATAGTACAAAACCTCCACCTGATCACTTAGTTGAGGAAGCCTCTGCAAAGAATGACCTTTCTATTTTCTACATTCCTTCTCAGCCTTTTTTAACAGCTCTGGTCCAGATTTTTCCTCTTCTCTTTAATCACATCAAACCTCGGTGAGTAAGAGAAAGATCATTAATTCTAAAACCAGATTTGTCTGTGAATTATACTTAATGTATTCTAGCATGGAAAACCAGCTTTGATATGCCATCATTGTATAAAAATTACCTGTTGTTTTACAGTAATTGTTATTCTTTTATTGTAGTCTCTCCTGAGGTGTTGTGAGCCTAGAGTGTCTTTGTCCAAACAGTGAAATATCATCATGATCACCTTCTCATTCTGTGTTTGTCCAACTCCCCCTTGTCCAAAAGTAACAAAATATCATGACTAATACCACCTGATGGGGTGTTAGTCTAGACAACAAAATATTATGACTAATACCACCTGATGGGGTGTTAGTCTGGACAACAAAATATCATGAAGGTATTCACCTAATGTAATGTTAGTGTAGACAACAAAATATCATGAAGGTATTCACCTAATGTAATGTTAGTAGACAACAAAATATCATGAAGGTATCCACTAAATGTGATGTTAGTGTAGACAACAAAATATCATGAAGGTATCCACCTAATGTGATGTTAGTGTAGACAACAAAATATCATGAAGGTATCTACCCAATGTGAT